TTTAATTTTTTTTTTAGAGATGCAAATCAATTACGAAACTTAAGTTAATTTTGCATAGATTATATCTCTATGAAATAATAATTTTTAAAAACAATCAATCTTGAAAACGATGTTCAATCACAGTTTCTCGATAAGGAACACTTATATTGGGTTTCTAAAAGGGAATGTCTTTTGATGCAGAAATTTGAGAACATTCTGTAGAAAAACGTCGAGGCCGGTTTCGTGCGAACATACAAAACTCGAGTAGTTTTATCTCAACACTCAGATGTATAGATTGACGTAACATCGATACAACCTGTGACAGAATTACTATTGCGATACAATTGAGTTTTCGTTTGTAAAATTTTGACTCCACCTGCGTTACACACGACATGTAAAAATCTCTTATAAACCATAATTATTTGTGTGGAATAATGGAATTTTAAATCTTTGACAAATTATTGTACTATATATAATTATATTACAAAAATACAGTTCTTCTTAAATGTGTTTTAAAAAGCAATATTAAAGTTGAAAAAATAATAAACTCGTTATTTCACGCATATTGCAATCATATAAATATCCTGATTCCGTTATTTAACATCAAGATTCTTCAAGTATGTCAAGTAATTATGTCAATAATAAAGTAACACATCACACCTGATGTTTAAATAATGTATAATATACTGTCTTTTTAAATTTTATGAATATTCTGCGAGCGCACCTTTGTCCTCTGCCAAAATGATATACTTTGAGTACGCTATTTTGTGTTCATAAAATTCTTATTCTTTATTCATGATGTATATGTAGAGTAAATCACCACATTAATTATAATGCACATAACGAAAATTCGAGTCATCATTTCCACGGCGCTAAGAGATTATTACGACATCGATTTTGTCATTCGTGATGGAGGTAAATACGTTTCGCGCTTGTAACACGACCGTGCAACATTGTAAATACGATGTTTGTTTTGCGTGATAAGGCAATCACACGCATAAGTTTCCGTCACAGTCTTGCCGGAAGACGTTTTGAGAGGTATCGATAATAACTAAGCGAAGTTATAATAACATACACGTAATACTAGATAAATCTGCACACAAGGATGTAATACCAAATGAAAAATGCATTAACTTTTATTCGCATAAAGAAGTAAAAAGTTTGAAAGCTTTACTCAAGATACTGCATTTCGTTGTCTCTATTTTGAATAATTTAAAAATAAATGGAACTCTCTAAATTTCTAGCAGATTTCTTTTTTCCGTGAAAGAATTTGATAAAACATATATGTGTCTCCGATAATTTTTTACGCGAATGACGATTAAATTCAAACATTATTTCAGATATCAAAGAGACAATTTACTATCGAGAAAACAAGATTGTTCTGAACATAAAATTGTCGGACAGCGAATATGGCGAAATGCAATTTACTCGTCGCGAAATTGTAAAAGCCGAGTAAAGTGTCTCTCCGTGCTGCGATTCTTTTCTTTTTTTTTTTAAGACAAGATACACAATATCGGAGTGTTCGTTAATGCAGTTTTCGTGTTTGGGATGCGTTTTTCGCGAATTGCATCTCTCTCTCTCTTTCTCTCTTGCGTTGCTCTTTGTATTATGCATTCTATATTGTTTTGTTGTGCGTAGCGAGAGACGCGACAGCGCGACTTGCCAGCCAGCATGAATTAATTCGCTTGACCTATTTACCCGATGCACTTGGACCACCTTGTACTGACGACGCTCGTGTGGGTTCCCATGTTTATATATGTATGTGTGTGCGTGTGTTTGTGTGTGAAGTGTCGCTTATATAGGCGAGATTGGCGCGTGCGCAGACATCGTGATGCTGCGTTTTATTTCAAGCGACATCTTGGAATCACGCGATGAAAGAGGGTTGTTATGTTCACTATCGGAAACAGAAGAGATGAGCAACAACGCAGATATTTGATGACACCGAAATATTTTTAAGAACGGTGATACAAGCTACGCGAATACCGGAGCATGCGACAAAGCAAATTTAATGACTATTAATGTTGTCTGCAAGCGCGAGTCAGCTTTATCGCAATATGCGTGACAGTTTTAATGATAACGTCTGTAAAAGCAAACTGACAGGATTGCAACATTATGTAGCAGCAAGTATGCACATTATTCACACACTTGTTGCAACAATAGATAACTCACTGTTGTGATATATATCTATATGTTCGTATTACTAAAACAGGTCTACTATGTTGTTCCGAGTTACGCTTAAATATTAGAGTGATAGATAATTTTATAAGTTTTTTGTGCATCAACTTGCTGATGTAATATATATACGAAAATAAAAAAAATACACGGATATATTTTTATCCTCTTTATCAAATATGACGAAATCACGTTACGCTTCTGTAATTGTATAATTTGCGCGAATTTTGTCAATTTCCATTTCTGTAACGCGGTCAATGATATCGACAATCGACGTGCTCAATGTCTCATGCCAGTAATTGAGGTCACCCAGAATTCGTGCAATATTCGCGCGTCCCATTACGAAGTCATCCGTGCAAGGATTTCATCCTAAAATTTGCAACTGTCGCGTTTGATCTAATGTCATTGTGCCGCCAGCACACATGCACATACATCATAGATAAACTAAAGAACTAAAGAATGATATACTGTATCCCAATCCAGGCGCGAGATATTTATTTGAAAAGAAAAAGAATGAGAACAATAGAATGATAGTTGTCGAATAAAATTGCAAGTTCCGCAACTAAATCGGTGTTAAAAAGGATATTTAAAAAGGATATTTATATTAAAACGCAATTTTGGATCGACACGACTATTCTGTAGCAGCTGGTCTTGTGAATAGCAAAAGTAAAAAGAAGAGAGGAGGAAGAAACAAAGAGAGAATTATATTATTATTATTAGAATTATATTAGAATATTTGGAATAATCATGAGAAAATGTAATTTAAAAATGGAATAAAATAGAACGCATAATAATATGGATGTATGTATAAAAGGGAGGAAGAAGGACAGATATCAAAGAAAAATATGACAAGATAAGCATATTCCTCTTTAATAAGTAATCATTTAATTAGCAAAAAATATTCATCATTCAAAAATCATTCTTATCGAGTGCAATGCGTGAAATTATATGTATATTAAATAAAAAAATAAATCTTTTTTAAATAATAAGTCTATATCATAAATATTATATAAATATATAACGTTTAAAAAACATTACTTAAATAATACCTGACACCTTCGTTGTTTAAGACTCGAATGAAAAGATGCTCGAGAAAAAAGTTAACACTATTTGCGGTAACAAATGCGTGTTTGTTCTATTGCTAGCTTTCTACATGAAAAATTCTTCCCCGAGGGATCTTTTTTCATACATAACGGAGGTATTTTGGCGTTTCCATTTTATAAAATCTCTTGTTTCTCTCTGCGCGTATTTTGCAAAAAGAAATGAATGATTTCAATAAAAGGATTTAAATTATTCCACACAAGGGATAAATATTGAGGGGGGGGGGGACTTTCGGGAAAGGAGTGTGTTAGGGGGAGAAGGGAGGATGCGAACAGACGGAGCCCTGGCAATAGCGGCGCGCATGCGTCCCCGCAACACAACATCGCTCTCTCAGTTTTCTCATTGACCCAGTTACCCAGTACACTTGACCGCACTCCGCTCCCTCCCTCCCTCTCTCTCTCGCCGCGCCCTTCCGTAGCTACCCTGCACCACCCGTTCCACTCCTCCCCCCCTTTTCGATCAGCGGGAAGTCGCGCTTCTCCCGTCTCCTCCTTCTCCCCCCCTGGTCTTTCTCGCTCTTTTCATCTGGGCACAACACCGCCGTTGCCGTTGTCGCGTAGTATCGTCGATATATCCGTATGCAGTTTCACCCTTACTCCTCCCCCACTAAGCAATATATACAGGGGGCTTGTTCACTTGATCGCTAAATGCGTGCGCTCCCCGTAAGTTAAGTTACGTCCTTCGCCTCTCTTTTTTCTTGCTTGCTCTTACTTTCTTCTTTACTTATTATTAGTATCGTTCTTATAAGAGTTAGTGCTATTGTATTGCAACGTTGTAGCCGCAATACTTCCCCGATAATATTATCAGACATCCGTTCAAAAGTGGCATTCTCTTCATAAAAGAATATCCCCCAATAAACTTTCTCTAACTTTTCGAATGCGGATACGAAAAAAGGTGTAAATTTTATAATTTTTTTTTTACATCATGATCAATAAAAAAAAATTGGGTCAATTTGCTTTGATCAATTTGTTGCTTCAATACTGCGTAATTATATTTTTATAGATTCTACATTATTATATAACGAAACTATCACGCGCGCGAGATTTATTGCGACAAAAATATATTTATGGCAAGCTCAAAAAATTTGCGATACAGCCATATTACACGGTGATACTAATCCTTATATAAACAATACTTTAAAGGGGTGCGGTTTTTCACTATTTTACTTGTCCTCACTTTATTTCTGCCCGTTTGTTCTCTTTCGCATTCTCTCTTTCTCTGTCTCCAATCCCTTATGATACGACGTAACAACATCTGTGCGCTCGCTTTAAGCCGAGCCTTTATTTGCCAACGAAATTTGATAGAGTTTAACTTTAACGCGACCAACTCGACATTTCAATTAATACACATATTAGTAATTTGAATATCGAAGCGAATATCGTATTCGTATGTAATGCGTTGATATGTTGAAATATTTGCTAAAACAGTGTGAAGATATTTGTGGGGATCGCGATGCGTCTATCCTGATAGCAAATGGCTAATTTTTTATAGTGAAATGAACAAAAAGAGACAAGAAAAAAAAAAGAAAAGAGAGAGAGAGAGAGAGAAGAAATCAAGTGTGCGTATACTATCAGTTACCTCATAAAATACTGTAAAATATGTCAGTCGTCGTGTGGTTACCACTTTGCGCGCGATATCTGTTGCTTCTTTTATAAAAACAATATTATTGTAAATATATCAGATAAAACTTCTAATAAAATAAAGTCAAAATTATCTTCTTTATGAAATAATTCGCTGACTGTAGTAAATTTACATCAGAACGTTTTGCCAATGTTTCAGACATGATTTGTCTACATCTCGAGGGATAGGTCACTAGTGGTTATAGTGTACAAAAATTACCCTTGATACGGATTACCTTTAAATTACCTCAGATTACTTAAGATTACCTTAGATTACCTCAGATTATCTGAGGCTACCTTAAGGGGCTACATACACCTAGCGGTAGGAAAAATAGGGGGAAATTTGACAATTTTTTTTTCACAAAAAGAATTTTTTTGTTAAAAAATCTCTAGCTACATCTTAAAGTAGGTCCTTAATGTATATTTGGTAAAATTTTCATTAATAAATATTGAAAAATGTACTGTGGAGACGTCATCTCCTGGAAGTTGTTCGACGATGCGGTAACCATTGTAGCTCCTCCAATTTTTATCTGAAATCAAAAACCAAAAAATTTTTTTAAAGTATATAAAAAAAGGAAGTTTTTGTCGTAGTCGATTTTTAAAATTATGATTTTTCAAAAAATGGCGGTCATTTGAATGTAAAGATATAATTTTTAATCTGATACCTTCGAATTCAAATGGCCGCCATTTTTTAATATTGTTAATAATTTATTATTTAATTATTTGCATGATTTAACTGATA